TGACTATGGGGTACTAAGTGAAGAAACAGCACAAAAGGAGTGGTCAACTATTAAGAGAAAAACACACATCAAATGCATTCTAGAATGTCCTTTTCTGAAAAAATAAATATTCTATAGAATAACATTGAATAAGTAATAGTGAGTAACCAGAATCTGTGTGAGAGAAGACAATCACAGTTACTGTATTCAAAACAGATAGGACCATTTTGCTTAAAAACTTATTTTGCAATTTGAAAGAAGAAAAAACCAAAGGCCTGAGATTTTTCCCAAGTCTCCCYGAAGGGGTACCCGGAAGCAAACCTTCAGTCACTTAAGTAGCATAGTAAACACAAAAGACTGGACACCTATTGCAACATCTGATTTTTTCAAAACTTCTAATTCATCTCCTAACTTGTTTAAAACTACACTCCTATAAAAACTACATTCTTATAGAAACAGTTCATATTTATAGAGTCCTACACAAWCATTCTTAGACTATACCTCCATTTTGGAATAAAAACTATATCCTGAACAGAATTACATGAAGAGCAACATGTTTCATGAGTCTGTACAAATGGAGTGTTTGAGGCATAAAAGAATAAAAGCTAAAATCAAAAGCATATCCCCATCTCATAATTTGTTTGTGGCTCAACAGAAGAAAAACTCTCAGAGGTAACTGGGCTTAGTTGGAGGTGTGATTTGGGAGAAGGGCAAGAACACRAGCGGGAAAAAGAAAACCTCACCTCATCTTCTGAGCCAGATTTATTTGATTTATCACCTTCTTGGCTTCCATCTTCAACTTCATTTTCTTCTTCATCAGTATCTTCACCAGCTTCACCCTCACCTTCTGGAGCAGAAATTAATTTTACTTCATATACAGAACTCTATTAAGATGCAGGGGAGTGAATGCCAGACTTCCTATTCTCCAGTTCTCACGGGTTTGTGTGAAGCAACACAGGCACTTTCTAGTGCCATAGGGAAGCTGCATCGCTGCCCTACAGCGAGCAGGGAATGCATCGAGTCCCGCTGTYGAGCGCCGGCTGTTTTAAATTCTGCTTTAGGGGCTCAGGACTTAAAACGCAGGCTTGGGAATGCCAATTTTTAAGTATCAATGTTCATGATAGGAGCTAAATCTCAGCAGTCAAAACAGAGTTACTGTAATCTAGAAAGTTTCTTTTTTACTTCAAACTTGGTTCTCAAAGTGAGTATCTAGAAATTCAGTATCCTTTGCACTACCTTCCATCAAAAAGTAAACAAGACGACATCTAAATCTGTCAGAGAGGATATAGATGACATTTTGCAAGCCTTCCAGTACTTTCGTAAAAAACTTTCCAGGAGCAACAGCTGCTGTTTTGCTATCTTGGTCAAACTTTGCTTTTGCTATCTTGGTCAGATCCTATGTGTGATGTGACGTAACTTTAGGGTTTAAAAAAAAAAAAAAAATTAAGATTTTTCACTGTCTTAGCGCAGTAAAGTCCAAATAATTGTAAATGTTTCTGACACATGAAACGGTACCTTTGCTCAKATTCTAATCACAAGATTAGAAATTTTCAAGTAATGCAAATCCAGTACCTTCCACAAGCACTCATTGAATAGAGGAAGAAAAAACAAAAAGGTTCACACTTTGGAAGTGGCAAAACCCAGAAATGGAGCAAAAAGAACAATACTATTTTAAACTATTAATTTAGTATAAAATGAATTGAATCTGTATTTAACTGAATTAATATAACCTAATGAAAAATGATCCAACTATGACTCAGAAATTATACTTCTTGGCAASATATATTTTTATTTGTTGGGATTTGTCTAGAAAGAGAGTGACAGAATGAAGCAGTTAAGTGAATTAGTCGAGAATGAAAAACAAACTTTATCAGTGTTGACAGAAAAAAATACAGAACAAAACAAGGCAGTAAATCCCAATGATAATGTTCTTTCAGAAACACCCTGCCACCAACTCATTCTCAKCTGAGCTGAAAAAATCTGCAAGTGTTTATGAAGTTTGTAACTGTTTCGTAACATGATATGATACAGATCCCAAGCCTTTCATTGCTCAAACCAGTTACTGTCTGATCCAGAAAACAAAGAAGCAGGTAATGACTATGAAAGAATTCCATATTGGGAAATCCAGTAGGAAATTTGCTTCCACAGCTGTTGAAGGCTGGCATCCACCAGCCTGCTGTTCTACCATCAGCAAGAAAGGAGGAACAAGGAGGAAAGAGACTGTCTTCAAGCCCTAGCCCTAAGTATTTCCCTCTCCCAGTACCTGAAGGAGGATCCTTCCTGCCCATTTGCCTTGTTTCCTTCATCAGCTCACTTTTTGTCTCCTCCAGTTCTCTTCTTTCTAAAGAAAAAATAAAAAGAGGTAAGCAGAAGACAAGCATCCCATGTGTTCAGCTAAGAAAGAGGCAAAAGAATGAAAGCTTCTCTTTTTTTTCTCTCAAACTACAAATATAATGGGTAACAAAAAAAAAAGCTTTTCTTTTCAAAAAGAAAAATTGAGAAACTCGCATGACAGCAACATATCGTCCTTTCCTCTTAGAAGCTTAAAAATTTCTGGAAAACTGTGGAGCTCTGTTAGCTCTATTACTTCAGTTTAGCAACTAAATGTAAAGGTCTAAAATGAAACTAGCTGCTGAAATAACCATTTCAAAAAGAATTTCCTTAAAGAACAACAACAAAAACAAAAAACACTGTTTTCCCACTGTGATTGCCTGGACCTTATTTCTAACATTCAAATATGTCCTTTAACATATTATTTATCTCCTGTCCTGTAACGATTTAATTCATCTAGACAACTGCAGATTTACAAACTAACAAAGCCCACCTCAAAAATTAAACTTTCTTCTTGCTCAGGTCTTGCTCAAGTTAAAACACTATCCTAAATGCTAAGTGAAAATTTGACAATGGGTGCTTTACATAAAAAAAAAAAAAGTCTGTAGTCTGGGGGATGCATGAATTACTCAACATGTCTTGGTCTGCTAGATGTCCGAGACAAGTCATTTGCACACGTTACAAGCGAAACTGGCTACTTTTACAAGATTACTAAGGCACATGATGTCCTGTGAGGATGGATGACTGATACTCAAAACTTGCCCTTGCTCACATCATAGCCCAGAATATCAGTAAAGCATAAGCTTATGATAGTAGAGCTCTAAGTCRTGAACATCGATTTCACGTATTAGAAAAATGATCCAGTATTTTCCTATCTGTGAATGACTGGAAAAGAAGTTGGTTTGTTGAAAAAAATATTAAATGAGTATTAGATAGAAAGTACGCTGCAGAGAGAGATTCATTTGTATATACACACTAGTGTATAACTACGGGCTCAAGGAAATACTAACAAAATCAAAACRTCAGTTTAATAGCTTCCGTTATATTTGATGCAGTAACATAATTTTATGAAATCCTAGAATGCCAAAGTATACCTCAGCCCACTGATCATTGATTTCTCTTGGCACAGCAGAACAGATTTCTGCAAGCAGTGAACGCATTGCTAGAAAGTGACATATAATGTATGAAGGCATAAAGCAAAGGTCAGAATTTCAAATCAACTTGATTGTCAAGATCTAAGTGTTATTGAAAAGCACCAAACAACAAGATTTCAGAGCACAACCCTCCCACAGCGGTAGAAGTAACAATAGCATGTTAAGGACTAACAGCTTTCAGTACACAGCTTAAAGATACGACCTCAGCCATTCTAGGTACAGACATCTGAACCATTCAAGAATGTTCAGGACATGAAATATTTAGAAGGCAGAAGGCACTTCAATTCCTGCAGAGAGAGGTTTAAAAAAACATTTTTTTTTTAATAGCCAACTTTYTGCTTAGATTTGTCACAGAGTTTTTAGGCATTTAATTCCACTCACTGAGGACTGTCAAAGGAAAAGGGAAGGCCCAGAGTAAAGCAGCGCATATGTACTTTAATTTCAACTGATTAAAATTACTGGCAATACAATCTGTCACCTAATCCTAATCACATCTTGATATTTGTTGAACCACAAACTGTAGCTTGCCTTACCATCTTCAGCAATCTCTTCCTGTTTTTGCTTTTCTTCTARTTCTATTTCATCATCTTCTAACTCCTGTCCCTCTTGTTCTAGTTCTTTCTTTGTAACTGGCTTAGGTGCATCACTTTTTTTGCAGTCAATATCTTCATCTATCTTCTACAACACATTAAAAATCAACATACATTTAAAGTCAGATTTCAACACTCATTTGGGTTTCATTCTTAAATAAACACCATTAATGGCACATTAAAAGAACATATTGGGGCACAAAGGCTAAGCTTTGCAAGTTTTATATTCTACACAGAAGTTTAAAACAAAACAAAAAACAACCTAAAAAGAACAAATCCCCAAACCCAACCCAACCCAACCCATTACCCAGTAGCAGAAGCCACTCAGTTTCTCCTACCTTTGCTGGCCAACAGAAGAGCACGGCCAGACCAACAGGGAGAGCTAAAGTCAGGATGTAAAGAACCCAAAGCCATGGGTAGTCTTCTGCTGCAGTCATCAGCTGAGTGAACATACCAGGCTGTATGGTATTTAAAAAAAAAAAAAAAAATCAGGATAGACTTTGTGTTTAGAACAGTCTCTACTTTTCAAATCTGAAATGCATTGTACTGACTTTTCCAAAAAAATAGGACCTTTAAAAGAAAAAATACTCAGTAAAAGCAGCCACTAGAGGGGCTCCTCATCACAGATATTAGAGCAGGTTCACCCTACAGAGTGCAAATCTAGACAAACTGTATGTGCTGCACTTGGGAAGCACAACAAAACATGTCAGAAGAGCAGACATGGGTGCATAATATATGCACAAGTATGTGCACAAACATTTTCAGAGCTGAAAATTCTGCTGAATATTCAGCCAGAATTTTAGAATTTTTAAACATAAAAATCATCTAATCATCCACTTCTGGAGGGAAGGAAACACATATATAAATAAGTCAGGGGGAAAACAAGGTGTAGATAGTTCATACTGTTCATACTAGCTCATCAAGCAATGCATTTTGATATCAGGAGGATACTGATCTAGCTAAAAATCAAACTGGGAAAAACTGTTACAGTTGCTGAACAAAAAATTGTAATTGTAGATAAATATTCTGTGAGCATAAACAGAAAATTCTTCCAATATACTTCTTCCTCTATGAGARGGCAGCATAGCTTATACCTCGTTAGCACTTGCTATTAATTTCTTCAAGCCCCAGCCATCTGCTGCCCAGCGATCTGCTACTTCTTTTTCTGAACATATAATGAAGTTATCAAAGTAGATATCTGATGTCATAGACCAGAGCTCTAATCCAATGGCACTGACAGCAGTCATCTCAAACGGGTGAAGATCTTCAAAATAGTTTGGGTTGGAAATTTTCCGAGGCTTCCAGATTCCCTTTAAAAGGGTAAAGGGGGAAAAAAAAAAAAAAAAAAAAAGATTAAGAATTTAAGAATTAACACTATCAACAATTATGGCTCTGTGCATACTTTTTCCCAACACTGTCAGTTATGCTCAGATGTGCATGTGTGTATTTATATATCCATATATTCTATATTTATACATTATAGATATGCGTGTGTATATATAAAGTTCATAAAGCACATTACTCATCACTATATAACTCTTAGTTGCTAAAATATCATTTCACTATGAAATCCTAAAAATGAGGGGAAATCTTTTAAAGTTAACATCTCAAATTCTAGAGAGAAAATAGCTACTACCCCAAAACAACATTCTGAAGGAATGAGAACATGCATACACATAGATAAATATGTGTGTATATATAAATACACACATACATATACATACATACACACACACAAACTTGTAGCTCGTGTAACCTGAAGTGTTACGGAACACTTCATTTTCAGGAAGGAAAATTCAGCCCTGTGGATATCTGTGGAAATTGCTTACAGACACATGCTATTTTGTTTAAAACCTGTTTAGATCTTAAGCTAAAAGAAATCAGAATCAAATTCTCCCAGAACAGAATTAACATAAAGGAGCTCTTTGATGTCAGATTGATTCTTTCTTGTATCCCTGGATACAAGAAAGTTACAATTCAAAAGTCAATCTTCTTACTGAGAGGTTTAATCTTTATTTTGATAATAAAGTACACTCATTGAAAGTTAGTCCCCCCCAAAAAAATCTACCAAGAAGAGAGTTACTCTAATAAATAATAACATCRTTCAAAAATTCTAGGATACAGTAGTCAAACTGTACTTGGTTTGCTTTCAAATTTAGTATTTCAGTTCCGCAAAACAGACAGTTAAAAATCTTACATCTTCTGTATTTCTTGGAATTTACTATTTGAATGTTCTTTTTGTAGGGCATWTTTATAAATATGATAAATTGTTTTAATAGTAGCCATAAAAAAAGCTTATTTATTCTCATAGCAGAAAAAACTCCAGATGCTTAGTGATGGTGTTCAAGCTCATTATAAAATAGATTGTAGCTCATTATAAAATAGATCTGTAGCTCAGAACAGAATAATATGCCACTTAAACCTGCCTGCTCTGTTAAACTTTCAACAACAAAACATGGTATTGTTATTACCTGATAATTAGGATTATCTATCATAGGTGGTTTCCATTTTCCTTTATATTTTGGATTATTCATCATAGGAGGCACCCACTCTCCACAACCAGGCGCAGTCTCACACTTGGGATTTGGGATCTGAGGGGCTTCCCACTCACCATCCATTTCTTCATCCCTACAGAAACAGGATTAAGTGACTGACAAACATTCAGTTCAGACTGATCTGAACACTAACAGTCAGTTTGAAATTGAAGTTTATACTCTTTTTTTTTTTAATAAGAGAGCCTCAGAATTTTGCTTGCACCTTTATGAGTATATATTTTCAGAGTGCTTTTTAAACTATATTTTCAATTACAGCGTAACCTGAATGTAATTATACCCTCCAGTCTGCAGACAGCTTGAAACACTTCCACATAAGGTGCTTACACTGCTTTGACTACCATATAATATCTAATTATCAGCCTAAATTATTTTATGTTTTATCACTGTAGCAGATTCCCTCAGAGGACTCTCTGCTATCCCTCCTTTTTTAACTTCAGAACTGAAGCAATCATTGACAAAATTTCATTGGCAAAAATTTCACACTTTTCTAAAAACACTCCCCAAACCAACAGACGTTTGGCCACACCTTGAAAATTACAATGAAATGTGAACTGAAGTACTGATCTGCAAAATTCCACATATTAATAGATATCTGCAAATACTGATCTGCAAAATTCCATATATTAATAGATATGTATTTATTGAACTGAATTCTTACCAATCCTTTGGCTTTTTTGCATTAGGGTCKGGAATATACTTTGGYTCATCATCAAGCCATCCCTCAGGCTTCACAGCATCAGGATCTTCTATTTTGAAAGGCTCATCTTCATCCCTTTAATTACAGACTGATATTATAAAATACAGCAACCTGACTTTGAACCAAAGTTCTGTTCAGAGAACTGTAACTAGCATGAAAGGGATGATATTCAAAGGTACAACAGMATTAGGCACAGTGACTTMTTTTAAATTTATATTTAAAAATAYAGTTATGCAGWTACGAGAGACACTGTTTAGCCCAGAAATTGCTGCCATCAGCTGGTGGATAGCAGATATGTTTCCTCCTGACTTCTTTTCCTTGTATTCCTCAGTTATTGTATGACCTTTACCTCACAGAAAAGGGTCTAAGTAGAAATCATTAAATGTAAACAAAGAATATATAATTCTTTGGGGGGGAGGAAAAAAAAAGACAGCATTTCTAATTGTTCAACAAGAGTAATCTGAGGTATTATTTGCAACAACAGAGGCTTGAAACAAATTAGTAGAAAACATAACTTGCATTTGAAGAGCATGTCCGTATATTCCCCAAACTGTTCCCCAAACAATTTTTCAAACACTTTTTTTTWAAGTAGAAAAATCTATCATTAGCAAAACAACAAAAGCCTAACAGCAACAAAACCCACCCAGTTAAATCTTTCAAGTGTTTTTCTACAGATAAATTTATCTCCTTACCAATYGTCTGGTTTGACAGCATTGGGATCTGGAATTTTTGGTCTCTCATCCCAGTCGTCAGGTTTTTTATCACTAGGATCATCTATKTCTTTAGGTGGGTTTACTGGAGGAATCATGTCCGTCAGAAGACTTCCTTTACTGACAACTGATTGGTCGATTAACATTTCGAAAGTATCATCTGGTTTCAGCACTAAATTGAAAAATATATATATTAAAAGAAAGCAAAAAGTGTATGTTTTACAGATACCTCCAACACAAAGCCTAYATGCTAGGCACAAGTTCAGGCAAGTAATGAACAAATAGTTTCCTCAGACAGATTTTCCACTCAGATCAGGTACTGGACATAATACAATGAAGTTKCTACTGTGGAGACAGCGTGTCCAGCATCAGGCCCAGACAAACTGAAACCTCCAAGATACTCAGTGGTTGAAATGCATYCAAGCACAATCTAACAGGTTCACAAACTCACCAGTCGCTGAAGTTCTAGGAACTTTATCCGAGGACAATAAAAACAAACCTTTGCTCACAAAGCGTCTCTACTATCAAATTACAGCTCTGAACTGCACAATGTGGAACCAGATGCACTCGGGCAACACCACAACTCAAGAACCATCACAGCAGTATTTACCTCTCAGGCTCATATCTGACTGAGCTCTTTGGCCAAATGCCAGACTGCAAACACACAAAGTTCTTCCCCAGTGGCTAAATATTTCAACAAGTTCAACTAGCTGATGAARGGTCTTCAAATTGAGCAGTAGTAGGCTCAATTACAGACCCTGAATCCAGATCCACCTCCAATARCCAGCAATTATATTAAAGTGCTTAAAATGCAACCAAATACCTCTCTAACAAAGATTATTAATTCAAAGCAAACAATATTCCACTTTCAATAACAATTTACAGAGGTGGAAGCTGAAAAATAACCTCATAATAATATTATCATAACATCTAAGGAGTTTAAAAGCTACAGTTTAAAAGCTTTGAACTGAATTAAAATATCCACAAATGCAAAAAATAAAATTTCATATCATTTTATATACATAGACTTGGGATTTTTTTCCCCAACTGATTTTATCAATCTGATAAATACATTAGAATCATATTCAACACCTCTGTCCTACTGAACAATTTGTTCTATTTTAATATGCATAACTGAGTAAATATGATTTGGATTTAAGTATTTTTAATCATCATCTCAAAAGAACACACAGCTAAGGAATCTCACTCATTCATTTACAGTAAGTATAGGAGGGTGGTTAAGATTATTTATTGATTGTTCTTCTCACTTCATTTCTGTCATTCTGTTTCACTCACTCCTGAAATTTGCTGTGGCACACTATCCTGTTTTTTTCATGGCAAATTAAGTTGAGCACATTTCTCATCATTAATCCATGATAATTCAAAAATACAATTAATACTGCTGTATATGCAGTATAACATAGATCTGTAAGCTTAGTCCACTTTTTCTCATGTTTCTCTGTATTCTTCCTGTAAATTTTGAAACAGACCAAGAAACTAAAGTTCTGGCTCTACTGTATTGCTCATGGACAATTAAAATAGCCCAATTTAAAACAGTCCAAATATATTTATCTTCCATTCAAAGAGCGTGGTAGCATCTCTTTATACATACTGCTGCAGACAGAGCTTTACTGAGACCTCTCATGTGTAGAGAAGATTGGCATTTGGTGTTTGACAGGATGTCTAACTAAATTACTGTAAATGCATCTGATACCTTCCCAGAAGATTGTRCATTTGTTATTTTTTAATATYATTCTTATCCTTATACCATCYCATCATAGCAAAATAMAGAAAGCAGTAATCACYTGCTCGGTGCTAGGCTGACCAAGATGTCTTTCCCCATAACTGCWTCTTAAACTGCAGCACTACAGAGCTGGTTGTGTTCTGCGGGCACTAAAGCATTTAAGCTCAAATCTTAAGATAACTACCCCCCAAATGAACAGACCATTACTAACAGAAAGCTGGCTCAGATGCTTCCTTAGCGGAAGGAAAGTAATTTCTAATGTTTCTTTTCTAATTTAAGCTTGTAAGAATTAAACAATACCAAGAGTATAGAGGTGCGTCTTCTTGTCCGTATAGAATTTTTTTAGATCTGCATTAGATTGTTTGGCGTGTTTTTCATTATATTCTCCGGTTTTAGGATTCTTGTGTCTGAAGATAAAGTGTAGTTTGTAGTCTTCTCCACATTTATCTGGTCCAAACATAATAGTATAAGGTGTTTTGTCAAAAAAGTATTCCTGTAGAAGCAAGAAAGCTGAACATGTGTTATACTGTACATTTGCCGAGGTGAACATGGCAACTACGTAGCCTTGATGCTGTTACATGCAGCAATTACCTGTTTCCTAAAAGCAGTTTCCTATAACATTAACTCTAAAACTGAAAACTGGTAGGCTGAATCCCTGTGAGTCCCTGTGAGTTGCTGAGTGCTTTCTGTTCTTAGCTCTAGCTAACCAGAAAGGATTACTTAAGCTTCTTATRGGAACATAAATATCCTTATCAAGGCATTATCCTTACATTGAGTCAAAATGTTTGTCACAAAACAAAATGGCTATATCCTTCTACATACATAAATTACACTAGAATACAGAAGGAAACGAAATACTATCCTTTACAGCTTTCACAGTTTTCAATACAGATAAAAAGCAAGATATAATTATCCAGTACTTCACAGTACACTGCATTGAACTGTTAAGCTGTTATATATATTAATATATATTCAGTATTTTGCAACTGTTTATACATTTTTTGTATTTGGAGTGCACAGTAACTTGCTGTCTTAAACCYTTAARGAATAAATTCTGGAAAAAWAATATTGAAAGATACACCCTGACAGAGATGCTTTTTTTGTTTGTTTGCAACAAGTTTGTACTTTATATTTTAACCAGTTTAAGGCAAGGTAAGACATTYTCATTTTAGATTTAGAAAAACCATAGAGACACATGTTTATATTTCATCACTTTTATAATATTCATCTTGGAAAATGTCACTGGTAAGGATTAAAAATATTCAACTAATATCAAAAAGCATACATACAGCACTGAGATACATCTAATTTTAAATTAGAAAATAAATGTGCAAGACTGACTCTTTCAAGTCATCTTACATCTTTCTTTTCATCTTACAGACAGTAAAGCTCAAAAAAAGATGACTGTAAGCCAATCCAGAAACAGGATAGTTTTGTGTTTGCTGTCTCTCTGGTTTACTATCACACACACACACACACACACACACACACACACACACACACACACCATTTTTCCACATCTATACATCTTTCTACAATAAAACCTGTCATGTCTCAAACAGTTTTCCTACAGCCCATGTTTTAATACTTACTTGTACAAAAGTTGTATTAAGTACAAAAAAAAAATGTATAATAGCATACACATATGCACATTTTGGGAAAAAACAAGAGAAATAGGAATATGCATTAACACTTATTAATATAATTGCTTAAAAGCAAACTTTACACATGCCACCACCTGCCAGAGTGTTACAAATGTATATGCTATCCCTTAYATGGCATGCAAAACACCACTGTTGATTTGCAGGTCAAGACAATGTCTGGAGCCCATCCTGAAGAATCTCCCCTTCATTTTGCACATAACCAGGGCACTGCACTTAGCAGCAATACAAGCATGGGTAAACGAGCACCCAAAGAGGCTGCAGACAATGCCATCTCACCATGAGTTGGGGCATTSTTTCATCATTTTAAGTTTAGTCAGCACTCAATGACAATGTTCTTCAACTTGATACTTTAAAGCCAAGATTGTGGCTTTATAGGTTAAGATAGCAGCAGYACATCTTAAGCACAAACACAGATGGCTTAAGTACAGTCCTTACATACTCAGAAAGRAAACTATGAGATTTTTGCCTCTGCTTACACCAGAAGAGATTTTTTAGAACATTCTTTGCTTCTCCCCCGCCCCCGCCATGAATGTGCCTTTCTAGCTTACTAAATCTTGCTTGGTGTGCAAACCACACAGCCTGATGCATCTCAGAATGAACAGCTTCTATAGGCCGTAGTTGTGATTGCCTCAAGCTTCTGTCACTACAGTGCTGACTTGCTTGAGGATCAGAAGTATCCTTCTCATTTYGTTTTTGTACTGCTGAGCCATGGTGAGCTCCCTCCAGTCATGATRCGCCCATTCTCTTGCCACAATTTTGAATCCACAGTGGTCATTCCAAGTCTGTCCAAGCATGTAACCTATTTCTGTAATTGCTGCCATATATTAAAAGCACCAGCTCTCCCTGAATACACAGCCAACCGTGCTCTGCCAGCACGGCAAGCATTCTGTAGCAAACTCTAGGCCACATGTCACTGTCACTTCTGAAGGTTAAAAGCACTGCTCGAATATCTGCCATTGTGGTCTTGATTTTCTGTACCTGCATATGAGGGTAGCAATAGCAACATTATGGCAGAAACAATTAGTTTGTGTGTGCTGGAACCAACCCCTGGCCGAGTAAGGCAGCAGCACTGGAACCAAAAATGTCTAATTGTGTCAGCATTGCTACAAGGAATGGGGCTCAGAAGGGGCAAGGAAGTTCCCATCAATATTGTGAGACACAATCTACTGAATGGCCTAAAATACTGAGGCAATTACTGTTGCAGATTGTTTTTCTTGATTTTTGCTCTTTGTTTTTTGTTTCTTTATTTAAGATAGCTAATCATTAAAAAAACTTCCCTGAGGCTAGAGATCTTCATCATATGCAGTTTCTAAACTCAAGTTTCGAGCTTTTTCAAAGACTACACATTCTATACCATTCAGTAAAAAWCTACTCAAAGAAGAGTTGAGATTCTATGACTTGTGCTATTTTGAAAAGTCAGTTGAAAGGGCAAGAGAACTCATCTATTCTGGATATCAATATTTAATTTCATTAAATTTTAGGATTAATAGTTAACATAATACTGCTCATACACAGAACTAAGAGGAATACATTTAACACACTACACTGTTCATTTTAATCTTGAAATTCACATTAACATTTCTTATATGAATCCAAATCTCAGTAGTTTACTTGTACTTTAAAACCACATGTGAACTAATGGAAACTTTAGTAATAAAATGCTATGAAATATTCCAATAAAAACCCGCACAACTATGAAAGCTTTGTGTAATTATGATCAGTCTTCGATATGTGACTGATCTTGCCCAAATTTCTGCTTAATTATTTTGGACGCTGTTAAAAATATAGGATGTATTACGAATTACTGTCTTACCGATACTCCACAAGAACAATTACCTATTCTCAAATTGAATATCTCTTASCAAGTATTAAGCAAGATGACTTACCAGATCCAAGTCATCACTTCTGGAGAGAAGTTTAATATATGCTCCACCACAGTCAATGCCTTCTTGAAAATTCACTTCATATCTGGGTAAAAAGGGAGTTTTAAAATAAATAAGCAAATTTAAATTAATTTATAACTGGCAACTGTAATTTTGAGTATGTTCTTATTATTTATTAGTCATAGCCATGGAAACCTTTCTACACAGTCAAAAGATTTTAGTTACCATAAAAGCCAAAACAGCAGTGATGTCAATCAAAAAAGCCATGGTAGCAATTGCTGCAACTGCATCACCAAAAAGAAAAGTTCCAAGGTTTTACTGACCAATGTACAAGTATCAAAATGAAGCAGCAACTGAGTTCTAGAAAATTTGTGCTATCTTTGGAACCACCTATATGATGCACTACATTTAGCCACAGCAGTTACTTATATCTGTTTACAAGCATAACAAAGAAAATCTCAGCATCAGAAACAATATATAGGGATATTGCCATGGCACTGATCATTCCTTTAGCCAAGTTAAAAGGACACTGAGCTCCACTGATACTGCTGTAGTACCTGCAAGACTCAAGTCATAAGCTCTATTCAAATTACATACAACTTACATACATACCTACACTTAGATTTTCAGAGAAAGACCGAAAACCTATTAGTAATTTTAACAGTTTTGTAAAATCTTTTATTCCTGGCTAAAAAACCATTACAAAGGAGCTTAAACTACATTTCTTAACACTTTTATTGCAACCTTTGACTTAAACATTAGATCTTAAAAATCTGCAGTTTTKTTATGTCTGGATATGATAGTCAGKGCTACATGCAAGTCAGTATTTTTCCACAAGGATTTAGATTACTTTCCTGACTCAAAGTTTTCAAAAACAAAATTGTTAGGCACAAATTTGAATAATTACTTACTGAACAATCAAAGGCTTATCATCAAAAATAAATGGCTTTGTTAGCATAGCTGATATTGCATGATGCTTTGCTATTGATTTTAACACTAATCCTCTGTCTCCTGGCACTGTGTTTTCTTTCAGTTCTTCTACTTCCCATCTTCCTAAAACAAACACAGAGGCTTTTTCAAAGAAAGTAGCAAGTTGAAGTTATGAAATTGCAGACATCCTGAAAACTGAACGAACAGTAGATAACAATTGATTACCAAAGCACGGAAGAACTTTAGTGTGGAAGTTAGGCATTAAATAATCATTTACTCTAACTCCAAACTCCACTTTCTCTACCGCTCTAAAATACAAAAGAATGCCACATAAACCCTTTGCTCACATCTATCTGTCAAATCACTGATTTGACAGATAAAAAAAAAAAAAAAAAAAAAAAAAAACCACACAACCACAAACTAGCTGCTACACTTCAGGAATTAGAAATAATTAAAATTCCATTTCCAAAGTTTGAGCATAAAATTCCATCTCCAAAGCATATCTCCATTTTGAGTATAAAAAAAAAAAAAAAAAACTGCATCATACCAGAGCCATCTAACCTAATGTTCTGACTGAGACAATGAGGAGAAACAAAAGATTCGAGAAAATGAATGTACTAGGTACAAATAGCTGTAACAACAACAAATGTCAGAAAAAAAATGTTTTTAAGTTGATGCTTTTATAACAGTAGAAACCAGTTTCACAACTGTGAGAATGGAGGGGGAGTGTGAACATCCCCTCAACTGAAGTTCTGTATGCAAGAAGCAAGAGTACATTTTAGACAACTATCATATATTCAAGATTAATAGGAGAACTGCTAACACAGAGATTTCCACAAGGCTTCTGTTTGTATTTAATCTGTTTTACTGTAAAAAAACTGCCTTGTTTCAGCATTAGGAAAGTAGCAAATAGTTGAAGAAATGTGCACAGCTTGGGTCAGCTTAGCTATACACAGAAAAACCCACTCTCCCACTTCACCAAAGTGTATTAGTTCTAGTCACTTTGTCAGGGTGTTACCTTTCTGTTTTTTAAATACAGTGCATAACATATATTTTTCCTACTCTCTAATTTGGAGAGGCTTGAGAAAAGACCTTAAATACTGTAGAACTGCATCTTTGAGTTGTGGTATCTCATAATGCTTAGGGAAGGATAACTTTTATCCAGATTTTTAAACAAGCAATAGCTGCAAGGTGCAAGGCAAGCTACATACCAGTATCATTCTCCCCCTCCTTCTCTTAAGCAGAAGGATTTTTCAGGTCAACTGTAATCACATGGAAGACCAAGCTTCACAGAAAGAAACAGTCTTTGAAGGAATTACCACATTTAATCTTGAAAACAAACAACCAAATAGCTTTCAAAATAAGAGGTTACATAATTATGAATTCTCCAAAGATACAGTTGATTACACAAGTAGAAAATATGAAAATAACAAGATTTCTGAAATAGCAATTATGTTTCTTCAGAGATTACCAGCACCAAATTCACCAATTTTATTTTCTAGGGATTAAAACAGTAAAAAAAAGGCTATTTTCGGTACTCTCCATTAATTTGGAAAAAAAAAAAGAACACTCCATCAATGTGGAAAAAAAATACAGGAGGAAGTCTCCAGGTGAGGAGCAACTTCTTTACTGTGAGGGTGACAGAGCCCTGGCACAGGCTGCCCAGGGAGGTTGTGGAGTCTCCTACTCTGGAGATCTTCAAAACCCACCTGGATGCCGCCCTGTGCCACATGCTCTAGGTGTATTAGGTCTAGGTGCTTGAGCAGGAAGGTTGGACTAGATGATCCCTAGAGGTCCCTTCCAACCTTAAATATTCTGTGATTCTGTGACTTGGTGTTTTTAAGCATGTATTTTAGGGGAGATTCACAGATTCAGTTAAAAAAAGTAAACAGCCATTTCATTCTCCGATTCCATAGATTATAAAAAGCCATTAAAAAGGAACAAATAGAAACATCAACTAAAACAAACCCATAGTTTTCTTTATTCAGGAGGGAGGAAAAAAAAAAGAAAAACCTTCTTCAACACTGCTCCTTCCCACGTTCAGTGGGAAGTTCAGTGATTTTTAAAACGACTGTTGAATTAGTACTAGATGCGGCAACATAGAAAATGCTACAGAAAAAATGCGTTTATCAACTGAAATTGAAATGCCAAACCTCTGAAACCACAATTTTGGAGAACATTATTTCTCAAGAAGCATCATTCATAAACCATTAGTAGGAGGTATTCATATAGCAGAAGATTCTCTAACATCATTCATTGCAATAGCATTGCAGGGATGGTTCAAAACCATCCACTTGCTAAGAGACCCAATAGACAACATTTACATTCCATTTTTAAAACAACAACCGTTAAACAAGACTTTTGACCTCTGTCACATAGGTTTTTAAAAATAAATGCAGTGTAGAAGCCAGCTGTTCCTCAAAAAGCATCAGAAAGCATAGTGTGGTAGTAAATATTAAAAGGATTTACCATCATATTTAGAAATGTTATCATCTGTGTCTTCTTTCTTGGTTTTAGACAGCACCCACCTAAAAACAAGAAGTGTATCAGTCAATCATCTAATGTAAATAGGTATTCAAAATCTTCTCAAACAAGAAAAGACAGCATTAGTTTTCTAGGATATGAATCTACAATAGCAATTTTGACAGTCAGAATCCTGGACCTTTTGGTAATTTAAACAATATTAAAAATAACTAGGAAAAATGTAACAGATTAGTCTAGACTAACACTGATTTTGAAACACTTCTTGAAGTTTAAATGAATATACATAACTCCAAAGTTGTTTAGTTGTTTTGAAAAGAAATATATAGTCTTATAAAAATATTGTAGTTGGTAGCCCACAAAAATATTGTAAAAGCAAAAGAATACTACAAAAGCATACAATGCCACAAAAACCCACAAAATAGCAAAATGTAAGTGTAAAATCTACAAGCTTGACAAGAAAATAAATCAATTATCCTAACGAGCCTGAGTGCTATTTGACAGTAACAATACACACGCAGAGCAGATGGGGAAGGGAAGAGGTGAAAGCATCCAATGACAAATGCAGCTAGGTGCTAATCTATCTTTTTTCTTAATATCCATCAACACAATCTATTAAGCACTTCGGTATATCATAAAGATAGCAATATACCTGAAATATTAACTGACCAATTTAATGTTAGGTGTTCAGAACACGTATTACTCCATTAAGTATTACCCAGTATTATCCCAATTCTAACCTCTATAAGACTACTTTTGATAAAATACCAGCAAAATGAAACTAACAGAGGAAAAAAGTCTTGCCATTTTAAGTCAAACTGATAAAGCTGTATATTTATAATTAAGGCACTACTCACCCAGCCAATATTCCATCAAATGTTTCTGTAAAGTACACTTCCCCAGTAGGCTTTGGAGTCTGGTACACAACCTAAAAGACGTTTATAGACACATGCTCTAATAAGCAAATTGTGTTTTTCCCCATGAAAACCACTATTATATCTGCAGAAGTAGTCCACCCAGCCAGACGAACAGAGATTCTTCATTAGAAACATCTAATAAAAGAAGACCTGCATAGCTGGTGTGCATGCCTACAATCATGTGCAATTTCTCAGACACTATTCATCCAGGTGACCAAGAGACAGTGGCAAGAAGCAGAGAAGCAAACCAAGGCTCAGGGCAAGGGCCCTTAAAAGGCAGAGGAATCTGAGAGTTTCATTTCCAGTGGTATGTTAGTAATAAGAAAAGCTGCTACATTAGATTTAACTTCATGTTCAGATAGAAGAACAGCTCATTCTCTTTTCCAGATTCTTGAAAACTAGATCAAGGTTCTCCCTCTAGAAGCAGTACAGTGCTCAAATGCATCCTGGATTATCATTACTTTTCTCCTCTGTTTTTTCCTCCTCTTGCTGTGCAATAACACATAGACATAGAGAATAAATCAACATCTCAGAAAGTTTCTTGCAGAAAGTTTCAGAGACTACGATAAAACCATACATAAAGTACAAAATCTGCTTTTCTTGTGTTCAAAGTTCATCATTAAAATATTGTCATGTCTACTTATTCTTGATGCTTCAGATTCCATAATCAATAACAAAATAGTTTTGTTATTAGTTTAATGAAGTGACAATTAATATAGTTAAAACAAATACTCAAATTCATACTATTTGAACATGCACAAAGTTTCTTTCTTATTACTGTCGAAGAAGGGAAGAGAAAGCCACAGTCTGCTTACACTGTTTTATATGAAAGGAAACTTAGTGGGGGATGCTTGAGGTTTACAGATTAAATACAGCACAGAATATTCAGAGATCTAAGTTTTACTATGCTAACTAAGTACGTTTGTAAGAGAAAATTCTTGGACCATCCTTTCATTTTTTTCAATAGGGTCAAAAGGATGAAAGTTTTCTCGGTTTGGGCATATATCTGCATAAACTTGTAAAAAAGGCAATCTACTCCCTCATTTAAGTGGCTCCAGAAGAACTAAGACAAATTACAAACTGGAGGGGAMAGGGGCTCAGAGAACACAGTTTACTGTACTGAACTTGCACCAATCCTTTTTTTCCTGCACACATTTTCCATTCTCCCATTCTCTTTACTCTCACCTGCTCCTACTTAGCACAACACAGTTGGGCTGAGCAGTAAAGAAAAAATTATATTTATAGTCCATAACTACTATGAAGCACAGCATAACAAAAGCTAGAAGGTCTTCAGAGAACAAAGAAATAAACAAGTAAGGAAGGAGTAAGACAGACAGTCATGACTAATGAAACGAAGAAACTGCTCTGAAGTCAAAACAAACCCAGGCAACATTTTCTACTTTCTCCTCTATAAATGAATGCTAGGCTGCAAGCTACATTCCAAGGATGACTAAAAATTAAAGGTCCCAACTCTAAACTGAAGTATAGGCTAGCAAGGCTCTCTTACTGACTATGCACTACAGGTAGGAGATCTAATTTTCCACTTTGACATAGTAGATTCCTTTATAAAGCTTGTCCTCCATGTCATGGATTGCTTTCAGAGGTTTGACACACACTGCCTACATTGTGTGCAAATCCGTCATTTCAACCTGCACTGGTCTACCAAATTCTATTACAGCTATTTTAAAATCAAACATAGTTAACTAAAGACATACATAGACTTACCCCTAGAGAAGATGTATCTTTGCCTACGTCCTCATCTTCAGATTGTTTGTCAAAATCCTCCACTTCAATATCTGTATCCTGATTTTCTTCGTTTTCCATTTCTGCAGTTACTGAGCTCATTATCAGGACACCCAAGCACAGCCAGTCCCACTGGAAGTGCATCCTGCTTATCTGAACAATTGAAAGTTGTAAACTGTAAATATCATTGCAGGGATTCAATCAATGCTAAATTAGTTTTACTCAAGATTTTAGCTACAAGAAATAAAATAAAATAAACAGGATGTGTATAGTCTTTATTTCTTACTATATCGCTATTCTCTCATTTCAGAAGAGTGCTCTATTTTAAATTTCCTTTTACCATATAATCCCAAGGGTTTGKTTTTTGTTTTTGTTTTTTTTTTCCCCTCTCTGTACTTGAGGAAGTATTTGCAGTCTTGATCCCTTACTTTGCCAGACCAACAATCCAGCAAGAATTTGAGTTCTGGATAGATGTAATTTTAAAAACTATAAATGCTTTTATTTTTCTCGTTCCTTAACAATCTGAACCAGGAATCACATTGAATCAATTTCTGTAACATAGTAAAAAAAATTAGCACTTTCATAAGAAGAGTAAAATTGATTAAAACATGCTAATCCACGGAGTGAATTCCTTATGGAGGTTTTTGCTCTTCTTCCACTGTACACATCCAGATGAGTACACCGTTCACACTGCTAAATGTCAGAACAAATATTCAATTGTTTCAGAAAATACTTTGTTTCAAAATTATCCAAATCAAAAATTGGTCATTCTTGACTGCAGGAATATGGGCAACTCATGTGTCTACCCCTCARAAGAGGTATCTGAGCAGCAGTGAAGCAGATTCTCGTGACCAACAGTACTGCAATATCAGCATAATAACACAGCTAATGCAATAAGCCGCTGTTTCSCAGTACTATACTGGCACTTACAAGACACAAGAATGGAAAGAGATCTTCTACACGGATATTAGCAGGGATTTTGCCCAGTGGGGACTGAGAGCAGTGGCGCTGGTTCCCCAGAGAGCTTGTGGCACCTCCACRCTTAGAGGTTTTGAGGATCCAGCAGCAAAAAGCCTCACGTGACCCCATCTCATCTGACCCTGCCACAAGCACAAAGCAGGGATCTCCCGTGGGCACTCCCAAGGCAAACAGCTTGACTTCCTTGGGATGCTGGGCACCCCAGCTGCAGGAGTTTGGGACCCCTGCATGCAGTCTTTCACAGAGACTGCACATGCCATTGAAGCAGTAACATACACAGAAGGCTACTGTTATTCCTTTTGATGCAAGAAACTAAACACAATTTAGCATTTTGTAGATTATTACAAATTTCCCAGTGTACTCCAAAGAGTCTTTTTCACAAAGCTGTATTTACAGGAGAAAGTTCTGCTTTGCCAAGCACACAGCAAAGACACATGTGATGGAAAGCTTTCCTTAGTCCAAGGTTTAAGCCCTGCAGTCGGTATAAACAACTTTTCCCATGGCCAAACACCAGTTCCTTGGAGGACGATGCAAGTTTCCCCCTTGCCATTCCATCCATACACAGGCATTACCTTACTCCTTCGCCATATGACTACGCAAGTATCAACCTGACTAGCTGGAACTCCTCCAAGAAGAGTATCCACCTTACAAAAACTATTTCCCTTTATTCAGGGTGGGGGGGAAAAAAAAAAAAAAAAAAAAAAAAAAAAAAAAAAAAAAAAAAAACCTCAGCTTCCTATCCCTTATGCAAGTCTTAAGGGCACTGTGCTAAGTATTAGCAGGGCTTGACCAAAGTTGTGGTGTTTTATCTGGGCAGGCCTCTTACCCATGGCGTTGCTACATTTAGCTTACATTTATATATTTTTTAATAAAAATAAAAATAAAAATAAATAAAAATAAAAATAAAAAATGTCCCCCGGGCAATGCCAGGCGCTCCGGTGGCGCTGCCGCGTCCTTACACCCCGAGGGAACGCAGTTCTCCGTCCTCAAGCTCCTTCGCAGCGAGGCCCTGCTCTCCGCCTCGCGCGGGCCGTTAACGGCGCATAACGGTCGCCGGGGCGCGCGGCGCAGCTCGGATGGGGGGGGKAACCGCAGCTTACGCACCCGCACGGGAGGCAGGGAGGACGCCCCTCGCCGGTCCCGCCGCCCTCCACGGAGCTCCCCGCGCCTTGGCCGGGAAAGGCAAACCGAGGCGAGCCGCGGGGCGCCCCGCTGAGCCCGCGGCGAGCGCGTTACCGGCGGCACAGCCCCGTCCCGCTGCCCGAGCGCGGCCGCCTTGCCCTGAGCATCCCCGGCGAGCGCTGCGCATGCGCTCCGTGGCGCTGGGAGACGCGGCCGCCCGGCGGCAGGTGCAGCCCCTGGCGCCAGCTCAGCCCGAGCCTATCAAGGCTCGGCAGCGGGAGCCGTGCCCAATCAGCGCGCGGCTCCGACGCAGCGAGCGAATCAGGAGCGCAGCGAGCGGCGGCGCGGGGATCGCGGCGGCCAATCAGAGGCGCGGYCCCGAGCGCCGCTCCCGCACGCGGTGTCGCGCGGCCGCGCGCGCGGAGCCGTTGGGGAGCCGTTGGGGAGCGCGGGTGGAGCAGGGCAGCAGGGAGCGGGACCGGGACCGCAGCGCCCACCCACACCCGGGCGTACCGCCTCTGTGAGGGTGGGCTACGGAGCTCTGAACTAGACTCATGCGAAATAAAGGGTAAATCCCAACAGTAATACCTGGTTTATGATAACAGCTCTCAGGCGCTACAAGGTCATCATAAACTAACGCAGACCGGTGATTTTTTGTTCATTTGGTAGCTTCATCAAAGACCACCGTAGGTTATTTCAGTTACAAGCTGCAAGCAACAAATCAGACTTGACAACTTCCCCTCAGTGAATATTCAGCTCTTCACCAAACCAGTAAAGTCCTGCATTTTCACCCCTTCAATTTCCTCACACTACAACGCAATTTAGATACCGCTTCTTTAAAAACACCGGCCTATATTACTTCTAAGCGTGCAGAAATGCAGTTTATTTCTCAGAATGTGTGCAGTTGGGACTGCACTGCATACACTGGGCAATGAGGGTGCAACTTGTGCTTCAAGTGTTAAAAGAGGTGATAAAGGAATTCTGCACATCACAGATACGCATCCAGGGTACACACACCTTTTAAATGACACAGTGTACTTTATTTTCAATTTTGTATTTGCAGGTAGGATTTAAATATCAGAAATACAATTAAATAAAAAGATAATCAATTTACAGACTTCAAAATTATACTTAAATAGATTTTCTTTCTACAAAAATATAATTACACATATCATCCCACATATTTTCTGTAATTAATGCAATACATAATTCAGTGAAAAGCTTTATAAATCTAAAAGCTTTACAAAACTATTTGATTTTCAAGTTATTTAAAGGCCAGCTTTGAGGCACTTCCCATTTAAAAAAGCAAACAAACAACATAAACTTTCTTCTACATTAAGTGTGAAACATAGTCATTATGCTAAGTCTGAAGTCTCTTTTCATATTTTTAAATTGTTCCTCTTTCTGATGGACTACTCTCCAAGGACTTGCAATTAATATTGACAACTTTTCATTATGTATAATGAAAATAAAAAATTTCCTTTCAAAATTAATCAGTTTTCTTAGTGACTAAATTGAAAACTTCACCCTCATTTTCCACCTCCCCCCCCCCCGCAAATGCCCTCATTTTTACTTCTGGTGAGACTTAGCATAAATTTATGCCTTTATCCCTGAGATATTCTGTAAAATCTTGTCAATTGTGAGTAAGAACAATTATTCAGCGTTTCCACACTAAGGTGAGGTTTTTCATATTTGAAATATCAGCCAGGTACATTTTGTAGAATTACTTATTCTACAATATAACATCAGGCTCTTCACAGCTTTTAATATTCTTCATTAAAAAAATAAAATAAACAACAACAAAAATTACCTCCACTCTTTTCTGATACACAGTATTAAGAACTAAGTACTTTGGATTTGCTTTGGTATGGTCTTTTCAGCCAGACAGGCTTTCTGCTGCCGTTAGCCTAGTTTTCAGAAAAGTCTCTAGAAAGTGGCACTTCAAAGAGTCATTTTTTTCATGTTTCATTTTTCAGAGGTCTTGATAAACACCTGAAAAAAAATCAGAAGCTAAATTATTTTTTRGAAAGTGCAAAGCACTGACTAAAACATCAGCTTTTTCCCCTCACAGGCAGGGCAAGAGTTTAAAGCTCTAGTAATTCTCTTCAGTGACTTCTTTTGAATGTTTCGTACTTATAGGGTTCACACACATTCAGACACTTGGAGGAAAAAAMCATCTGTGTTAATCTGACAATGTTTGCATATTGTGTCTAATAGCTAAAGCGGTGACTGAGAAGTAGCTAAAAATGCTGAGCTGCCTCTTTTGCTTTGTTTACTCTCACCACAGCCGTGACCCAGATTCTAGTTACTGTACTTACAGTGTTGCRGAAACCAGGGAATCATCCCATTTAAGCATTTTTCAGTACTTCTTGGATTCCTCCCTTGAAAAATTAATATATTTCTTCACTCAAGGAAGTTTTTTTGGAACAATTTTCCATTCAAAGTTAGGTGAAAATTAAAGAACTATGTGGTAAGAGGATTTGCAGCTGATTTAATAAAAGATTTATTAAAATGCCTCCTATATGCTTACCTCACTAAGTATTGCCCATACAGGAGAATCAGAATTGATTGACAGACGAATAGCCTGTATTTTTCCTACTGACAGACTGATGCTGCCCTCTGAAATTCCATTTTCAAAAGTACCTAAATAAAAATTTTAAAGATATCAGTAATGCTATATGCTAGAAGAAAATATAGTTTCAAGTGATCTTATGTGAAGGGTCTAAATTACAAATTATAAATTACATCGAGCAATGCAATATTAGCAAAAAAAATCATTTGGGAAAGTTCAAACTATAAAAAACTGAAAGATCAAGCCATAAACAAGAATCATATTGAACAGAATAATTCATTTTTCCATCAGGCTATTAAGAGCTTGCCTTAAAAAAGGTAAAAAAATAGATAATCTATGACCACATAGAAATGTTTAAAAAAAGATATTTAAAAAAAGGGTAGTSATGTCAATATACATATTATCTATACAGTCACGTTAAAGAATCTAAAAGAGCTTTCTCAGAGTTATATTTATTTTTAAAAGACATAGTAGAAATCACAGATCACATCTGATATATTCCTTCTCTTTCCCCCTCCTTTTTATTCCTTCTCTTTCCTTTCCATTTTTCTTTTCATCCATCTTAACCTAGTATAGAAGAACTGCAGCATAATGAATAAAGTTCATCCCACGTATGACATTCATTTCCTATCAACTTGCATGTGCAATTGAGAGTTGACATCACTTGGTTTTAGAGCTCTAGTTTGAGGAAAAGGGTGAAAAGGAAGTGGGAGAAAGATCCAAATTAAAGCAAACAAGAAGTGCTGGAAAACTGGAAATGAGGTGTGAGGAGAGAGGAGCAGAGATGTGGTTGGAGAGACAGAGAAGACAGGGAGCAAAGCACATGTCGCATTAGTGTGGTTTTGTTCACATGGTAGCAYTTCAGTTTAGCACAAGACCTTGGCAGTGTGTGTGGAGGAGCTGCAGTTCATTTAGAGAAGAGATCAAGGACTGCCCTGAGGAGGGGAGAATGGGCAAGCTGAGGTGTGGACAGAAATGGGAGAGATGCATTACGTGATGCKCCATCTTCATTTCAGCATGGAGCACAAGTTATTGTGGTCATAATAAATAAATTACTGTTCTCCTCAGCTAAGCCTGTAAAATACAACCAGAATTAATTATCCTATTTGGACTGCCAGCTGTATACGAATTATTCCTCTAATCAGATGCCTTGGCTTTTGCAACTACTGGTAGGGGTTTTTAATAGTTAAAACAAAAGTAGAATAATAAGTGGTCAAATATCACATACTGCAACATGCAGTAGCTTGAACTGTTTCTTCTCCTTCCTAGTTCACCTTGGAACACTCTATTTAGTATACAGTTAATGAAGTTCTCAAGGGCAAAAATGTTTTATATATAAGAACAAATTTTTTGGTTTGGGAAGTGTAATTTACCTATTTTTAAATATCCATCTTTGGTTGCTGGGTAGTTGAACAGACTTCCATGGTCAAGCAATGCTTTTCTTACTAATTCCTGTAACAACAGAAGAGTAAAATGTCCAACAATGCTAAAAGGACATGGTCCTTTATGCCAACATCATTCATAAAATGAAACAACATTGTATTTTACAGCTGGAAGTGAGCAACTTACATCAGCAGGTAATACTTCCACAGTGGTGTTAAACAGTTTATCACCTGGGTGCTCCATGTTTCCACTTCTAAAGAGGTACCTGATTATAAGAAGTATATTGTGATAAAAGTGTATTATTTCTAGGAATTGTGATAAAAGTATATTATTTCTAGGATTGTATACTTCAGGGAGAGGAAAAAGAAAAGAAAAAAAAAAGCTAGATGAGTATTTTTTTTCCTGTTCTGGAGTCAGCTATGAGGCACAGAGAGCAGAAAATAGGCATTAAAACTTTCAGATACATGATCAAACCAGAGGATTTACGTTTTAAATGGAACAACCACTAAACCATCCTTATCTGGAAATCATGAATACAGTTCTGCTGTTATCATACTCAAATTTCAAATCAATCTTTTTTTTTTTTTTTTTTTTTTTTTCAAGCTTAGATGGCTAACAAAGATCTGCCCTCTGATCAGTTAGTATCACGCTAAGGCCTAGGGGTAAAGGGCTTCTGTAGCACAAGAGCAGAAAAAATATCACGGTCTCTGCTAGACCACATGCTGCATGTCAAGGGAATGTCCTTCTGTATCAGTATGGATCAACTGATGCAACGCTATGGCCATAGCAGTAACTCAATTATCAGCATCATCTTGAATCACCTATGAGTTATAAAAAAAAAAAAAAAAAAAAAAAAAAAAAAAAA